GCTAACAGTTTTCTTCTTTAGCACACAGAACTTTTCAGGTTACTCTGTATACTCAAGGACATATCATTTTTAAATTTAAAAAAAAAAATCTAACAGTAACGGCCCACATTGCACCTGCCCTTCACAATCCTGATAACTTTTCCAGCTACACATTTCCTATTTTCTGGATCAGCCTATGTGTCACCAGTCTCTAAAGAACATGTTTTGAATTTATTAAAAGCCCAACAGCAGAAGAATTCTCTCATTTGGCAAAGATACCATCACAGGGACACTTGCTCTTGGCTCCATGACAAGAAATCCATGGTACTTTGTTTGTCCAATCCACAAAAACACCATCCCCCCCCTCCCAACCAGCCCTTCAAGATAGTTCTCCCTTCTCCAGAGACTTTTCCAAACAAGTCTGCAAGTCTGAAGTTTTGGGTTTCATTTCATAAACAGGACACAACCCCCGAGTGCAGCTCAGGATACTGTCACTGCCACATGGGCTCAGCACTAATCACAACAGCCTTCTGAAATATTCCCTTGGCCCTTTCTTTCCACTGAGAGGCCTGATTTTTAAACCAGCCATCTTTCGAAGTAAGCATAAAATATAAACAAGAAGCCAAACTCCAGGGCCCAGCCAAAGGGTATACATTAGTCATGGCAAGGCTGGGAAGGAAGGGAAGGGCAGCTGGCCCCAAAATGGGTGCCTGCACTGGTCCAGTTACCACGTCTCACTGCAGGGATTGCCCAATCCTTTAAAAAGACACAGACATCCTTCAGATAATCATTTAACTCACACCAGTTTGTTTTTTCAACTGCACCTCTAAACATAAGCTCCTCTTCCAAACTCTCTCCCTTTTCAGAGTTTCCAGCCTATCTGGATAAAACATTTGGTGAGGACTCCACTGACACAGCGATTTCACCTCACAGCGGTAAAAGCAAGAAACCTCCCAAGAGTGTGTGGATATATCAATTTAACAGCTGAAGAGCAAATACAGGGATGAACAAGAATGAAATCCCCAAATGTGTTCACCTGCCCAAACACCTCTGAAGATGCAGATTTAATTCACTTCTACAATCACACAGGGGATATAACAGAGCAGAGACCTGAATCCAGATTCTTGGATTCAAGAGCACCTTCCCACCTTAATGTTTCACTAAAAACTTCCATCACTGTGATTCAGCAAGGGACCAATCTCTGCTATTGATCCCAGCAGACTCTGCATCGACCCCAGGAATATCCAAGGAGTCCTCTGGATCTCCATCAGTGCAACAGAGCCACCTCAAGCCCTAATGATAAGCAACTGGAAACGGGTGACAAATAAACTCTAAGGACTCGATCAGTGCTTAACATAAAGAGTCAGCTATTTAAATGTGCTCAAGCCAAGGAACTCATAAATGAAAGAAAACAATTAGTCAAGGGATCTTCCTGTTGAAAAAACACTGTATATTAAAAAGATATCACCCCCTCTCACAGAGATACAGACTAATATTGGTTACGTGGTTCCCAGAAATGCTTTTAATCAACTACAACCATTTCTCCTTCACTTTGCAGTCTGTAATTATTGTAACAGCATGAATTTCTTTCCTATAAAACTGATTTTCTCTGGAGAAACTCATGATCCTGAGATCTGTTGGAAGGAGATAATTTAGAAAAGTTCCTCCAAAGTATACAAAACATCTGTTCCACCCTTTTCCCTGTCATGATGGCAAGCAGCTGAAGACTGACTGGACAATTATTTCCACAGGAAAATTATTTGCATCAACATCCCTATAAGAGATGAAGTCTCTCCTAGGTAATACATTACTTTCCCCTAAATATTAACATATCTAGGGGATAATAATATGGAAAAAAGATTTGCATTTTTTTCCAACTTTTTTTTGTAATTTTGGGAGGTGGCTTGCAGCACAATGTTGGACACTCTCTATCTCAGTAATCTCAGCCTGACATTTTTCCCTATGTTTCCAAATCCTCCTTCACAGGTTTAATCTCTCATTAGTTACAGTTCATCTTAAATGCAGGAGAGACCTGCTCATTTTCCTGTGAGTTGCTCATGACTGGAAGTGGCCCTGAAGCAGAATGCTGGGTCTATACACATGACCTTTGAGAAATCTGTGTGTGAATTCCACCCAGTTGAACAGCTCAGCCATATTCTTATCTGCAGTGGAATCCCTCACGAGACCTCAGAAATACACTGAAATTACAGATGAACATCTCTGGATTCTCCATCCATAACACAGTAGCCTGTAACTAGATAAGTGTTTAGATTTTATTAAGATAGCTGTACCCAAAACACCATATAAAGAAAAAGTTATCAGAGGTTGTAGATGGGGGGGGGGGAGCAGTGAGTCACACTCACCACAAGTCGAAGTGCTGAGCCTCTGCAAAGCACTTCTAACGTGTCTGTGACAGAACAGCTCTTCCTCTCCACCACAGCATTTCTGAGAGAACACAACTGAGTGTTCAAGTGGCAAACCCAACACTTCATTGTTGCAACCTTGGGGGGTAGAAGCTGGGAAGTTCCAAAGTTTTAAATTTGTTAACTAAAGAGCTGTCAGTAACATTTTCAATGCATAATAGTCAGGATCATTCAGAAAAACTCAGTGGTCTTTCATCAAGGAGAAACAATAAAAAAGAACTATTTTAAATATGAAATATTACAGGCAACAGTCTTCCAAGAACAATGGGAATCAACAATTTGGAACTTATCCTCTGTAAGTGATGGGTGGGTGTTGTTCAGTGAGACACAGAGCAATTTCAAAGCCAGTAGGTAAAAAAATCTCAGAATACATTTGAATCTCCAGCTTGGAGGTAAGAGGTCTTTACTGTTTTTATTATAGTTTCACTGGAAAAAACCTTGGCAACAAGGCAGTTCAAGCCAGCAAAATTAAAGGGGAAAGAGAAAGGATTTCATACTCAGAAATACACATCAAGAACTGCTTTTCAAACACGTTTGATTCACATCTCACACACAACGTTCTGCTCTGAGCGACCTCACTGAAGCAAAAAGACTACACACAGTTTTTAAATGTCAAACACACACAAAATGTTCTAGAGAGCCCCTTAAAATTTTAAAGAAGCAAGGTCTTTCCCATAAAAGTGCCTTTGGAATTGCATTTATTTTGGTAAAATCCCCATCACCAAAACAAATTTTTGAAAAAATAAATCTGTCTTTTATCAGGGCCAAGTTCTGCATGATTCAGAGTGAGTAACACTGTGTCTTGCCCTGTGAATAGGCTCCTTTGTGCTCAAAGGGAGAAAAGGTGGGAAGAATCTTATACTTGACAAATTCACAATTCCCTTGTATTATGAGCATATGCAGGGCAAATTACTTTACTTCACCAAACTACAAGGAAATTCCCAAAAAACAGGTGTGCATGGGGGAAAGAGAGAAAGGGGGAAAAAATTAGGTTTGATTCCTGCAAAACATTTCTTGTCCTTATTTTCCTATCTTTTTCTTCCTGCTTTGCCACCCTATAAGACATTCCACTAGAGCCAAAACAATAGGCTTAATTTTAATGTTAATGGGCTTAACATTAAGCTAGCAAAGGAGGCACTACAAAGAACTATTTTATCCAAAATAGAAGACTCTCAACCAAAGGTGGGGGAGGACTCGGCCCAGAAAGTCTTTTCCCAACATTCATCAATAGAATCAAAATGTTTTTGAAAAATAAAATTGTCATTGGTAAGGGAATGAATTTGCCAGCCTAAATTCAGGCATCTCTACTTTTGAGTATAATCTTCTGCAACAGTTTTTGTTTTTAGAAGAGGTTCTCTGCTTCAACTCCAGGAATCTGTAGCCAAGAGCACAAAGCCAAAGCCAGGCAGGACCCAGGAGCCATCAGTACCCCTGGACCCTCCCTTTTCAGACCATTCTCCATCTAATGCCCCAACTAAAGGGTTCTAATTCTAAATCCAAGTCTTGAGTACTTTCACAAGTTTCAGACCCTGCATGGAATATCATCTGGGACCTGTGATTTATCCTGTTGAAGGAAGAGTTGGGCCAGGTGACAGGACTGCTTAGATTGCAAGGTCTGTGGGGTGAGAGTTGTTCTTCTGTTACATAATTCATAGTTATACAGCAAAATCTGACTGAAAATCCAAAGGAAGAACTGAGATACTATCTATCAATTACCATCTAGCAACTCTGTTTTTCTTTTAAGTCAAACACAGCATTTCCCTCCTCTATAATGCAGGGAATATATAATATATAACACTATAACAAAAGCTGTCAGTCATGAAGACTAACTAGGGAGAAATAGAGCACTCAAATAACTCAAAAAACTGTGTCTGATGCAAAGGTATCTTCATTTCCAGAGAAACCAAAACTACCCTGTGATCAGTTTTCATCTGAGACTACATTTTGCAGATTCAGCTCCACAAACTGCAATGGAAATAACTGTGAACTGCAGCTGGTCATGTAAGTCCATAAATAATACCATCCCTCACTTTTCACAAGGAGTTGTTTATCTGCAGATACACTTCACTTGTGCTGGTGACTTCAATGCAGATTTTTCAGGGGTTCTCTCAGAGGATTTTGTTAAACTGCTTAGGAGGTATTCCAGGATGCTTTTGAGGAGCAGTACAGCTGCTGTGTTTTACAGTGAAGTGACCACTGTAAACAAGATTTTAACAGATCCCTCCCACATGGCAAAGAAGTGTTTCTTTCCAATTCTCCCTGAAGTCAATAAACTTGTAAAAACCCCCAGATTTCAGAGAATTATTAAAAGTGTATTTCACAGGAACTAGAGCAATCACATTTCTGTTCCAAAATGGATCACAAGACCAATTAACTGACATTTGTAGCAACAAACTGTATCTGTGAACTACACTGCTCCCAGGAACAACTGTGCTCAGGAATGCACATGGAAGCAGGAGATAGGTTCAAGATGTTTTGGGGCAGACTCAATTACAGACAGATGTACATAACAGCATGCCCAGTCACAATGAATTAAAGCAGAACATACAGAAGAAAATAGATGAGGATGACCAAATCATACTGTTATAATTAACATACCTTGCAGTGACACCTGTGGCTTTCCAAGACAAGAAATCCGGAAGATCAAAGAAGTAGCCTGCCTTCTCCCAGGATTCCTGCAAGTTCTAATAAAAATATGTTTAGAAATGCAGGTATTAGAGGTCAGGCATAATCACGTTCTTATTTTAATGCAATTAAAAAAACTGATATTTAGGTAAAAAGGACAATTTTTTCAAACCAACTACTCTGATCATCCTGTCTGCTCTACTCTCTGATTTACTGCCTAGAGAACTGAGCCTTTGCCCCACCACAGGCTGATCTTAAGCAAAGTTTCCCATGAAAAGTTCATGGAGGCACAAGTTTCAGATCAATAACATGAGCTCTCAGTTCCCCATCAGCTGCTCCGTGTCACAGCAGCCTCGAAGTCAACACACAATCTTCTCAAAAACCATTTGCTTGAAGGACGCTCTACTTTCTAGAATTTACCATTTTAAATTTCGTATTTGTTAACTGTAAGCACAGGAAGGAAACAAACAGCTCTGTGAGCACAAGAACAAAGCTTTCGGATCACACGGCTTTTGGAAAAGCCACTTGACGTTTCCAAACTCCTAAAAAACTCTTCTACCAAGACAGATCATTTACAGGGATCATTTACAGTGGAAACAGCAGTTTCCACTGCTCTACTCTGCAGACAGATGGTGGTCCAGAAAGCAAGAATTCAATGCCCACTTCTGACCTTGGTACACTAAAACCAGTAAAGAACATCAAAACCAAACAGAAGTCAGTGCTGCTCACCAAAAGGGTCACAATCAGACTTCCACAGGACGATAACATTGCTTTAAAAACCTCCACCAGCTTTTTAAATCATTGGAAAGGTGCAAAGTTTTCTCACTTATTAAGAGCAGCTTCTGTGCTAGAAACACAGGTACTACCTGGGCTCTTTCTGGAGCCAGATTTAATTCCATGCAATATCAAGAAGGTACATTCTAAACTAAAAGAAAACATAATTCCATTTTAAGAAAGAATATGTGGCTCTAGAAATTCTTCTCTGTGAAGGTGGTGAGGCCCTGGCACAGGCTGCCCAGAGAAGCTGGGGCTGCCCCATCCCTGGAAGTGTTCAGGTTGGATGGGGCTTGGAGCAACCTGGGATAGTGGAAGGTGTCCCTGCCCATGGCAGGGGGTTGGAACTGGATGAGCTTCAAGATCCCTCCCAAGTCCATTCTGTGATTCAATGATTCTGTAACTTAATTCAAATACTACATGATATCAAACTAAAATCTTACAAGTCCAGAAAATTGTTGAAAAGGAATAAATGAATTCCAGAAACTAAGGTGCAATTGGGTAAGTGTAAAAAAAGAAAAATTTTCTTTAGTTTTGGATCATGCAAAGAATCTGTCTTACCTTTCTGTTTAGTTCTTCAAAAGCTTCTGAAACTTACTGGATTTCTACTAAGTTCAAAAAACAAATGCTCCAATTACAACTTTTTAACATTAAATGCACAACCTTTGGATGTTTGTTCCTGACCACTCAGGTTTAGCTCATGTGGCTGCTACACACATCAAATTTAACTTCATATGTGAATGCAAAGGAGCTCCATAATTTAGTCCAAAGGTCACTCAGCCCGATTATTTTGATAATAAAAGCCATTATGTGCTGTTAACACACCTGATGGCCTTCAAGGAACAACAGTAGTTTGTCTATTACTGGTAATAAGAAAGGAAGCTGGATTAAGAATAACTGTCCTCTTCAAACAAATCTGCTTCACCAAAGATACTCCTTGGATCTGATTCTATTTCTTCAAGAATTCCCAAAAGCCACATGTTAGTGACACTCAAAGTATGTTGTTTCATGAACATCCAAATGATTCATTTTTTGCCATCTCGATGCTGTGTCATCACTAATTAGTACAGACAACAAGAATCATGGTGCTTTTTCCCAACAAATTTAAAGTCTCCATGTTTCACTGAAGTTAATTCAGATTTATTTTCACCCACAGTCAGGAGTCTGTGACCACATTAAAAGGATTGTGGAGAAGATCCGGGAACGTTCCCAGTGCTGTGTTCACATCCTGCGACTCACCCTCCAAACTCACTTGGAGGAACTCACACAGTCCTGCTGTTTCCCAGGGGTACTTCCAGAGTCCCTTTCCTTCAGCTCTCTGTTTTGGGTTGTTTTAACAACTATACCTCCACAGAATAATTTTTTGAGGTTGTTATAGATAATCCCAAATGCCTGGGGACAAAGAGTTTAAGAATTATGTAGTGCAATGCCTTTTAATATTCCTAGACAAGGAATGTCCAGGATAATGACGGACTTTGTAATTGGACTGAAAATACACACAAAGGCAGAATTTCACAGGAGCTCCAGCATCCAATGCAATTTTTTGGAGACATCTAGAGCCACATTCTCCTTGGAAAAACTGAAAGAGCTTTAACATTCAGATTTTACTCAGGTTTGCTGAGGTAGCCTCTTTCTGTACAGGAAACCTTTGATTTCTGCTCATACTGAAGGTATAGTTATCTTGTGAGATGGAGTGATCCTCAATCATCTAATGTTTGTTAAAACACACTTTTTTCCACCAGAAGTAAACTGTGTATACAAACATTAAAGATATTCTAACTTTTGTTATTGTTAAGAGATTAAATATTAATCAAATTATCTGAAATGACACTATAGACAGCCTTCATAATAGATCCCCGTTGGCCATGAGATTAACTAAACTTAGGCTAGAAGCAACATCTGATTTAACACAGTGTATCAGTCTACATTTCATGGCTACTTATCAGCCAAAACCCAGAAATTCAAAAATCATCTGAGAGTGGTGTATCAGAAATCCAGGTTAAAATCAGAAGGGACAGATGGAAGCAGAAAAATGTTTCACCATTTAGGGCAAAAATAAAATTTCCACATCAGGTAAAACTCTAAGTCATCTGAAAACCAGAAAGAAACCTGAAAATCACTGAAGAACCATCTGCTTTTCCCAGTTCATCCCCAGATTTGAATCTCCATCTCCCAGGCAATCTGTAGCAGAGGGCTATGAAGTCTATGGGTGTGTCTTTTTCTAAATTACCCAAAACAAATGTACATTGTGTGAACGGAGGAAAGAGAACAACCCAATACTTTAATGCAAACACTCCCAGGAATGTAAGAAACTGATGTCCCATGCCCTGCTCCAACTCAGACAGAGCAAGGACTTATAACCTGCATCTCCCACACTTCACATGGGATGCCAAATCATGGGATAGAGCTATTCCAAGAGAGGCCCTGAGCAGAAATTCTGTCCTTGCCAGAGCCAAGGCCACAAATGGATCAATTTTGCAGCCATGACTTGCCCTCTAATTGGTAAAAGATTAACTGACCCAATGATCAGATTCAGGAAGTGGGATGGGGGGAGAGGAGGGCCTTGGAATGTAAACTCTTAGAGGAAGACCACCAGGGCAAGATGTGTCAGAGCCACGTGCTGGTATCCTCAAATCCCAGAGGCATCCTGTGCACATGTGTCTGCACTGCGTATGGAGTCTGATAACACAGAGTGCTGAAACATTTATAAACAATTCTAAACAAGAGTTCAGCTCTAAACTCAACAGCCTGGACTCGTTCTCACTTAACACGGAATTTACTGTTTATTTTAATGGAAAAACATTCACTCACATTCAACAAGACAAAAAGCCAGTGCAAGGGCAGCAAGCAAGGAAGAAGAAATGAAGTAAAAGAGCTGCTGCCAAGCTGATGCCAGTCCATCCACTGTCCTTCCCTCCACAGCCAGGGAAAGAGATGCCTTAATTGTTCCTGCAAGTTATCCCATTGGGAGCTGCAAGTCCCAGGGGGCAGAGAGAAGAAGAATGCTGGATCAAACAGCAGCTCTGAGGATGTGAACTGTAACACACAGAACCATCACTGACCACTGTGCTAGGAAAAAAAATACAGCCTATTGATTTTAGTTATTAATTGCAGAGGAATAATATGTAGATAGTCATTCTGTGAAGTGAATTTTTTTTTTGCTAAAGGAAGGCTTTTCTTTGTTCTTCAACACTACATTAAGAACAGAGCTGAGAAGGCACAGCATAGGAAAACTGCATTTCATTTGGAGACAGTTACTAAGCAAATATCTACTCCCAGTCCAGCATCCCCCACCCACTTAGAATAAACTACAGCATCTCTGATTTCATGGGACTAGTATTTTTTAGAAATAGCTGATTTGTAATGTCATTACTATGAGGAAAACATAACATGCATCCTTTCAGTTTGGCACAAGCTACAATAAAATTTCCAGCCAGAAGTTAGTAAACAAGATTTTTTTTCTTCTACTATCTCTGGGGAAAAAAAAATACTAACAGGCTAATTCTGGAGCTGCAAACCCCTGCCCTGCAGTTTTTGCACTGCCGTGTTCAAGCTGTGCTCTCACTGCTCTAATGCTGGTTTGCCACAGCACAGACATCTCTACAGTCATGATGTACAAACACCTGCAGCAAAATAATTCCCAAGGGAAGGAGCCTGTACCTGTATTTTCAGCTCATATGCAGGCATCTACCTCCCAGAACTATCTACACACCCTGAATGCGTGTGAACATCCCATTTCTTTAGCCAAAGTCTACAAAACAGCAGAACTGCTGCAAAAAAATGCACCTGCAACTACAGAACTATTGCAATAGTGTTGTGCAAGATAATTCTAGACCACAAAGAAATCTAAGGAAATAAAAGCAAAAAGAGTGAATTTAACTAGCTATTTTGAAAGACCCCTTTCCTTTTCAGTGAAGCTGACATTCACTTACCTTACTGACTTCAGCAAGACTTTGTCAGAATTATGTTCCAGCTAGCTTCTAAATATTTGTCACAGGATAATGATTCTTTACTTCAACTTTATCTACACTTGATGTTTCGGGTTTGGTTGACCACATTCAAAAGTCAAATGTGGCTGCATCCACACAAATTAGCTTTTGGAAAAAAAAAAAAATCATGTATTTCTTTTATTTTACATTACAGATTTAACACTGGACTCTCTCTCTCACCACACATGGTCCACAGAAGCAGAAAAATGCTCCTCCTAAGTGGGCCACAGATGTGCCCACTTCACTCAGACTGGCCCATAGGCTACAGAGGAGCTGCACTCAGCTGATCATTGCAGCTGTCCCTGACACAAACTCCACTTCAGGGGTGGCTTTGCCACAGGAACACCCATCTGCAATCACAAACACTTCATGGAGACTGACTACTAGGTGTTAGAGGGTGAAATGATTCAGCACTGATCAAACTAAACTGAATGAAAGGCACTGCAAATCAAACAAAAGATCTCAAAAAGCCTATTATGGCCTTCAAAGTTTATTTTCTTAATTCAAGGCCAAAATGGAACAGAGATGAAGAGCTGTAAGAACAGAAAACATCCTGAAGCCTCTTCTCTCTAGCTAAATCTCTATTATGTGTAAGGAGATGAAATGTTAAAGAGAATGCATTATATGGAAAAAAAAGTAAAAAAGCAGTAGATGAGAGTAAATCCTTCCTCAAATAAAAACAAATTGAGCATAACAAAAAAGCATAACAAAAGAGATAAGGACTAATATCTACTTCTCTTACAGTGGTGTCAGCTCACTCCTTACAGTCAGTGAGGCCATCCTTGACTTCAGTTCTAGGAATAGGATGATGGAAATGGAAAAGCACAGTTAGGTCATCACAGAATCACAGAATGCTTTGGGTTGGAAGGGACCTCAAAGCTCATCTCGTTCTATCCCCTGCCATGGGCAGGGACACCTTCCACCAGACCAGGTTGCTGCAAGCCCAGTCCAACCCGGCCTTGGACACTTCGGAGATGGGGCAGCCACAGCCTCTCTGTGCCAGGGCCTCACCACCCTCATAGGGAAGGATTTCCTCCTAATCTCTAACCCAGCCCTGCCCTCTGTCAGTTTGAAGCCCTTCCCCTTGTCCTATCACTCCATGCCCTTATCAAAAGTTCCTCTCCACCTCAGTCCTTTCTCCCCTTTCCTCCCTCTTTATTACTGCAACCAATTCAGAGTAAATTTTCAAAGTCATATTCTTCAGAAATACTTTTAATTGCTTTTAATGAAAATTCTCCAAGCAACAGAAATTCAACTCCTTTCTCTGAGAGACACTCTAATGCCTCACAACTTGCCAACACTGCTGAATTGCCCCATCTCAGAACTTTCCTCACAGCAGTCAGGTTTTTGGATACTACAGGGAAACTCCCTGTTTTTGGATACTCCCAGGGGAAAACATGAGACAACAGGATCTCTTAATGTGGCCCTCCAGAGTCAGGTTAGTACCATGGAAAGGGAGAGGGAGGCTTTGATCACAATGTACACACAATTAACTATTGGTGTAACAACAGTCCAAAGGGTCATTTAGCATCAGTTCTTTAAATAACTTACTTCCAAAAAGGCACCTGGTTAATCTCCTAAATCATTAGTGTCACAAATGACTCTTAACAAACTAATTTAATTTACAGTCACTTTTGTGCAACTTATCTTGTACTAGCAGGACTGAGGTTTTATATGACTGAATCCACAAACTGTGGAATATGGAAAAGTCAAGGGAAATCTTGAATATTAACTGGTTAGGCAATAAACTCAAAAATAAACAATTATATTTATGCCAGCCTAAATAAACTTTGAAGCTTGAGAAAACAATTCTGTGAGTTCCAGAGAAATGAGGATCCACTGAAAGGAACATATTTCATGGGGACTAATTTTAAGGTTCTCCTAATTAGATGCTGTTCATTGTTACAAATACATGAGGTTTGATTAAAAGAAAGGTATCAGACATTTTTCCAATGACACCAAAGATGACTCTGCTGGTTAATTCAATGGATTTATAAATTGTTTTTAATTATTAGTACCAGGTTATTTTACCTTTATTATTTAACTTCTATTTTATTATTTAACTTCAGACTCAAAGCAGTTCTTTTCCCCACTGCACCCTCTCTGCAAAACCTAAATCAATGCAAGCAGCTGTGGAATGTGCACAGCACCAATCCAGGCAAAGATGTATAGGGGGAAAACAGCACAAAACCATTCAACAGCAGAAACAATAAATTCCTGGGGAGTTCAAAATAAGGTCCAGGGAATTCAGAGAAAAAGTCAACAGAGTATTTTTTCCTTATGATATGTGAGTTAGAGCAAAATTTTACTCTGCTATGTCTCTGGGAACTGTGTAGTATTAGCAGGAGGGAAATACACTAAATACTAAATACAGAAAATAAAAATATAGCACAAAAAACCAGGAAGGACACATTAAGTACCATAAGTAGTTTTTCTGACCATATTTTTAATACCTGTGTCACAGTTTATTATCTATAAAATATTGGTAACAAAGAATCTGAAAAAAATTCATTAATTTATATTTGTAGACCAGTTCAAGACAGTGCACTGAGTAACAACTTATGTGTAAACTCTGTTGTAGCTCTCATTTGGAGAACATGACATTCAAAATTATTGTAACATTTTTCTTCCTTGGTAAAAAGTGATGACACTTGCACTACATGAGGCTGAATTTGAGCTGCCAGAGGCCAACATGACCCTTTGCTGACAGCCCTGATGTCATGTAATCCACAGATCCACTACTGTGACCGGCACTGAAAACAGACCTTTCCTCTTCAGACAATCCCTTTCACCCTCCTAATTTGCAACGAGTACAGAAGCAGTAAGAACACTCCATCCTGTACCTCTCCAAAGCTCAAAAGCTGAGCACTCCACGCCCAAATCTCAGCTGATTACAGCTGACCCCATGGTAGCTGTTGCTGTTCCTCTCCCCAGCTCAGGTGCTGCTGTAGATGTTGTTGAGGTGCCTGAGCTAAGCAGGACAAGCATAAGCAGTTTAATGGTGAGTCATTCCCAGCCCACTCAGGAACTGTCTCGTGAGCAGCTCAGCAAAGCACATACTGAGGGAAAAAAACCTCTCTTAAGGGTAATAATCTCCTTATCTGTTATGTCAGGAGCTGAAAAGGGACACATGAACAAGCCCTGTTCAGTAACACCTTCTGCCAGGCAATCTCTGCTCCTGGCTGGCACGTAGGATCAGGTGAGTGCTGTGTCCTACCCACTGGCTCATGGAGGGAACAAGCCCTGCAATGCTCTCCCCTTTAAACTACAGCAATTATGGCAGAGGGCTTACACAGCAGACACTTACAGCCCTGGGTGGGCACATTTGGACACCTCATAATCTGGGTTTCCTGATCATTCAAGTACTGATATTCCAGACCTTGCAAAATAAAAATGTTTTAAATTCAGTGGATCAGTTTAAGGTTTTTACAGCTTACATTTTATTATTTATAAAATGACTGATGTATGATACTCATTGCTCAAGAAGGGAAGAACTAGTAGATGGGTACTGGTTTTTCATTATCAACTTTCACTGTCGTCTATTATCATTAATCTGTCAGTACCTGCTTCTACCAGTTAATTCCTTTGACTCTCCCCAGTGTGCACCTTGTTCTGATATGATATCTCATGTTTGCAAGGACAGGAGACTTGGACTACTTGAAACTGGCAGCAAGTACTTTTGGGCTTTGTTAAAGTGACCGTGAGAATCACTGAGGCCAAACGTAAAAGCCAGGCTGGAGAAGGTTATAAAAAATTCAAGTGGCAAGTGTGTCTCCTTTTATCTGACAGTTGTTATTAAGAGGCCATATGTCATCTGTGACACACAGAATTTAAACATAGGAGACAGAGGCAGAGCTCCACATTACAAACAGGGCATCTTCCCTCTACAGATGGTTTATTTGCTACTGATGGGACAGAACTAAACTGAATCTTTAACTGAAGAGTTCCTCTGCCAGCAGCCAAAGCCATCACATCCCCTCTCTGTCGGATGCAGTGCCTCTGGGACTCCAGCCCACAAGCAGCACCTACACCTCTGTAAGCATGCTCAGATACAAGAGCTGGAACAGGAAATACACCTCCATAACTAAATCCCAGGATATTTCAAGGACTCATTCATTACCTGCACCTAAATTTCTATGTATAGCTAATCTTACAGAAGAAAGGCATATGAAATGTCCTCTCAGGAAACATGCCATTTCAATTAAATCAAACATCTTTCTATGTAATTGAGAGGAAAAAAGAACAAGTTAAGCCTGGCCTTACTTTGCACACCTTGGAGTTCAACACCAAGGCTGAAGACTTTCTAGAAATCTCATTCTCAGGAATTAACAAAGGGCACTAATCACTAGTAAAAATGCCCCACAATGTGAACTGTACTCACCTCCTTTATCCACAGCAGTTTAGGTGGTTGCATTTCCACAGACATTGCTCCCCCAACGTAGTTCAAAACTCTGTGTTGTGTTGCATTGATGAGCTCGACTTGACTCACTGCACGATGATCCATCCACATAATAACATTCCTATGGTTCTGTCCTGGGGAGAACAAAAGGAAAAAAGAGATTAATTTAGGTCTGGTTTAACCCCACCTCAATACTGTGAGTTACCCTGAGCTGCTTCACACTTTCACTTCTACATCGAAAACTCAAATTCTCTTTGAGCTAATAATCCACACTAAGTATCTAAAAACAACATTTCAGCCCTCTGAGCCAACTTTAAGACATGCTGAGCACTGAGAATGCTGACAAACCAATCAGGCTTGGGAGCATCCAAGAACTTTGAAACACCATGCTCTCGTAGACTGTATTTCAATCAAAGAACCCAAACTTCTTGACAAAGTTCACATAATTAGTTAAAAATATAAAGAAGCATTTTGGTGACCAAGGACTAAAAATGCGACAAAATCTGAACAACTCTGCTGTAAATTGAAATGAACTCAGCTAGTCAGCTAGCTAGACAGCTACAGAGAGTCTCTTTCCTCTTCTGTGCTTATGGGCTGAACTATCCTAATTTCTTTCCGAAGTACAGTTTCAGGAGGAATAATTTGAAACTGCCTGAAATCCCACCACTGCATGACTTTTAGCAGCATGAGAATATTCAGTGAATTCTTGTCTTCTTGTTTAACACCATCACTCACGAGTTCCATGGGGATATCAGAACATAAAAAATAAGAAGTGAATTTGACTCACTAGACCAGAATAGCCCCAGACATCATTAGGCATTGAACAGATTGTAAGACACTCTGAAACTGAAAAATAAATAATCTCATCTAAATTTAGAGAAGGATGTTTTGGGGGCAAAGCTGTTTTTTTGAGGAGGACAAGAGGAGATGACAAATATATCTGAGAATAGGAAGAGAACATACACAGAATTGTGAGTAGGTCTCTGTAACTACTGATTTTGCACACACCTAATCTTAAATGGGATTCATTGAAAAATAAAGTGCAAGAAAGACTTTGAGTCTTCTGAATCATCAACTCTAATAAAACCCACCAGATTTTTAGAAGAAGGTCACAGTCAGTTTCTGAAGTTTAGCACTGTCCTAGACAAAGACAGAGCACCAGTATAATAAAATACACAACTGAACCTCTTGCCTGCAGCTTCAAGACAGAGCGAGCAGTTGGACTACACTAACACCAACATTTTTAGCATTCCTTTAGCCAGTGTGGATGGGCATTTATACAGACTATAAAAGCCATGATCAGCAAAGTCTGAAGGAGAAGAAAACATGCAAAAAAGAAAAACGAGCCTAGATTTCCCTAAGAAGCAATTTCTTTGAGCCAAGACGAATTAATTTGATCTTGGGATGCCAGATACTTAGCCAAACAGTAATTCTCATCCCAAAATTAATTTTGCAGTAGAATTAAAACAGTAAAACCGGGAAAAAAATCCTCTTGTAAAAAAGGTTTTGTGTCATCTCCATCCCCAAGAGTCAGCCTCAGCACGTGGATGAAATGGAAAGTTCACTCCCACCAGTGGTAACACACACACAGTAACACCATTTTTTGTGTGCAGTCCTACCTTCACAGTTGACTGCCAAAGGTTGGAACTGTTTATCCAGAACAACAAGAGAACAGGTAGCATCAAAACCAACCCCTCGAATCTGGGCAGCATCCACTCCACAGACAACCTTCTGAAAATAACACAAAACACACATGAATACAAATGTATCAATTCATATGCAAGTGCCACTGAACTGAGTACAGAAAATGAGTTACAAGTTAAAAATGCAAGCTCAAACTGTGAAATTCTTTATATTCAGTATTCTTTAACACTTCTAATCAAAAAAATATAAATTACAAAAAATTCTTTGGTTCTGAAAACTGAATTCAGAGATCCTTAATAGCTTTTTAATTTTACTAGCCACAGTCCTGGATAAAGCAGGAAGCACAAAAATATCAGAAAATAAATGTAGCAGAAAACCAGCAACATTTATTTTCTGTTTTTGAAAGCTTAGAGTTGAGCTGCATGTGAAACACGGACACAGGATTAGGGCCAAGTGTTTCCATCAGTTACTTCACTCAGTTCCCACCTGTGGAAGCAATAAATACTCTAGAATTGCTTTGGTTATATTGAGCCACAGCTTTTTGCCTTGCAATACTGAAGGGTCCCAAAAATAAAACCGGTCAAAACCTGTAGCAGTGATAACACCTCTGCAATGCACACCTTTTCTCTCTTACCAAGAGTTTGGACATCCTACTTTTTTGGAAGATTTTCAAAAAAAAAGAAAAAAAACAAACACTGCCCCAAAATGCCTGAACTTCATGGCTTCCAGCAGCACTGGAAAAAAAAACACAACACCCACGTGGATTAAGTGCCAAAGGAGGTTGCAAGACACCTAAAATGAACAAGAGTAATAAATTGCCACTTCTCAGCAACAATAAAAATATCATTATTTTAATTAGTACTACAAGGAAAGACTTTCACTAGACTTGCTACAGTGCCAGTCTCTTACTGGCTCTGAAAAGCCATAGTTTCAGAGACTGTTTTATTGCTCACACATCAGAGACTGCATTTAAAGGGGTCCAGAGCAAGAACAAAGCAGCTCACACAAAGAAAAATCAAATAAAGAGTAAGACTTGCTTGTCTTTAACAACAAGCTGTTCTTCCCTATCATTCCTGTCACTCCCTTCTTTCCCTTCCTTCCCCCTCACCTCCTCCTCTCCATCTCAGGGCATTTCTACAGAGCCAAGCTCATTAATGTTTGAAAAGGTTGATCAATAACAAGACAATGGGTGAACTGTCCATCTGCAAATTACCAAGCCCGCCATGAATATTTAAAAAGCTAACCCTAGAACATGGAGCAGGGCTGAGCTTTACTAAGGAAGATGAAATGGCCTCTGTGTGCACTGCCAAGCAAGGTCACAGATTTACCTTTACTGCCAACGGGTACAGGCAGAGCCCTGAATCAGTGGGCACAAATTTCCCCCCCACAGTAAGGTTTATTTCAATCGGGGTTTATGCTTGATGTTATCCACAAACATTTATCATTTATTTTGATCTTACAATACTGGATCCTCTTATAATGAGGATCACAGCTGTTATGTTGGGGACCATCTACAAACCAGATAACAAGTTCTATACAATAAATGCTCCTTTGTGACTCCAGTGCAGTATGAGCACATTTTCAAATATATGCACTGCCAGGCTCTAAGCAACCTTGACTCCTCAAAGAACTGTCTCATGGGTAGAACAAACACCAGCAAAACAAACCCCACAGATGTGAGACCTGAAGGCAGTGGGTAAGTCCTCCCCCTGCCAAAACAGCACAAAGAAGGGCCTTTCATTCTATTTGCAATTGTAGCAGAAGATTTTTTCGCTCTAGCCTTCAGCTCCTCACCAATAAAACAAACACTGTTGAGGCTCCATCATCCTCAAGGTGAGGTTACAAGTTACACAGCACAAACTGACCTGAAGGGAAGTGACACATGGGGACTGCAAGACCTTAAACATTCAAAACTCGAAGAACTACCTGCAACACAAATCCTTCATTTTCTTTGCCTTTGCCCACCTTTGTGACTGAGCAGCAGGCAGCCCAGATGTCTGCAGAGGATTGCTCATAGTGGTCTGGCTGGGGCTCCCAAATTTGGATGGGCTGCTCCGCATGTGCCACCACTGTCCCACAGCCATCGACCAAAGCTGCTCGAACACTCGCTGAGCCAACATCAATCCCAACATAGTACCTGACTGCAGTCTTCTTACTGTGCATTCTTAATAAACCTGTGGAAGGAAAAAAAAAGGATTAAAAGCAGATAAAACGACTGATGATGGAAAACTGTGCTGAACAGGGCAGGAGAGAAGCAGTACAGGCACTTCACAGGATAACTCATTTTTGCAGCAAGTCTTCACTTGGCAATTTTTAATTACTTAGAGTTTTCAAGTCTTTCACTAGTTGTACCACTTTTCTTCAAATGTTTGCACATAAGCTGCATGGCACAGAAGCTCCTGAAAAGCAAACTGTAAATGTGCATGTAAAATATGCAGGCAGTGATAAAATTCCTGCACTCATACAATGAAAATGCGTTGCTGTCACAGAGTATCACATCTACATAAGGGGAGAAAGAGGCAAAGAGAGAGGAAGGGAAGCAAAGGTTGTGCTGGTGCTTTACACACAAGGGAAATTTCAACCCAGAGGCTCCTGGGTTTTCTTGGCAGATGGGGATGCTGGTGATACCCGGAAAGCTGAATTCCCCTCTGGACAAGACAGCCAGAACCACCACAGGTCATTCACTGTCTCAAAGCAAACAAATTCCACTCCTGAACTAGTGAAAGGGGGGTCAGGCTGGGCTTCACTGAGCCCTGATCTGGAAGGGAACTAGGATCACAAGAGTTGCTGCCTCCCATCAAACCAACCAGCTCCTGAGTGACATTTTACTGCTGAATGGGACAGTGAGTCAGGCTGGAGCTCAGCAGATTCTGGAAACAGTTTCCTCTTCCAAAAAAAACTAGTGTGATGCTGATAATTAAAGTAAACACGTGACAATCTGGTACATGTTACCCAAGGAAAAAGAAGGAGGTAAAAAGTTAGGTTTTTAAGAGCTCTCCACCATCAATCCACTCAACTTTAAAGCCTCAGAAAATAATTTGCTGAAAAAGTGTTATGAGAGCATCCGAGGAAATCTCTGCCTGCTCTCTGACAACCTACAAGAACAAAGTGAGGTTAAGTTAATTGATTTAATTATTCACAATGAGTTGCATATTTCACTATATTAACTGTTTCACATTTAATATAGTGACAAATTCACTGTTCTAAATTTCTCACAGTTTGTTCTTAATTAATAGTTAACATTTACATTTTAACCGAGCTGGGAGAATGCTAAGTAAGAGCTGGTACAAGTATTTGAAACATCAGACAAGTACCAAGTTTAGTGCCTGTGTGAATCTGTTACGCCTCTGAACCACGTGAAACTCAGCTGACACACAGCTTCTGACTTCCAGAAAGTGAATGGATCGATTACCACTTGACGAACACGTGGTATTTACAGAGCATCAAAATGGCTCTACTTAAAAACAGCCCACCTCCCCCAAATAAGTGACCTGGATTACTTCTGGATGTGGACTAAAGGGTGGTTAGAGGGAGAGGCCTAGGCAAAGAGGGAAAGATTGGAAAGAAATGCTTAGTAGAATATGATTTTTCACATATCAAATTAATCCTTTTTTCTCTTTTTTAATGATAATTTTGAGTACGGGTCAGGAACTATGCTTGGCTGTCAGTCTGAACGTAGCACTGGCCCAATACAGGTGGCTGTTCACATCCATGGCTGGCTTGTAACCACTGCTGCTGATGGACATCACAAATCTATCATCGCTGAGGCTAAGAGGTAGCAGGTAAAATAAAGAAGGAAAAAAAAGGAGCCCTTTATCTCAGAAAACTCCAAAAATGATTCTGGGTAATAATTAAGCAGTGTAACAGCTGGGCAAAGTTTCATTTGCCCTGAAAAAGGCATAAGACAACACCTTGGCAAAAGAAACCTACTGAGGCTTCCCCTCATCCCAGCCTTTAAACAGCTCATGGGAATGTGGTCAGTCTGCAGAAATCTGTTATCACACGATAATTTTGTCCTGCTTCAAGCTGGCACTTCATGCTTAGACCCCACTGCTGGGTCCAGGGACCATTTTTGTTCTCTACTTGGACAGCACAAGGGAGTTCTATCCATCACTAAAACTCCTGAGCAGCCCAGCACAGACCAAAGCAGTTATGAGCTGCATTCTGCACACACCATGGCAGGGGCACCAGAGGAAGCTGTACAGATCATCAGCTTCTAACAGTGTCAGAAACTTGGAAAAACTCAAAGCTACAGAGTATATTGTGGCTCCTCTCTGTGAGCACTGGCTCTGCCCAGCAGCTGAGGTGCCACACACTAATCTTGTTAAGCGAGGTCATGTGTTCCAGCGATGAGCAAGCAGCTAAAAATGGTGTGCCGTGAGTTAACACTAAGGAATATTGGCAAGAAAGCTCCTTTATTTTCTTGGCCCTGGCTCTGTGACCTGGTCAGACTAACAAAAGCCGATGCCTCTGCCACAGAGGGGACGTGGGTGACTAACGCTGCATCTGTCACCTGGGGGGACACGCGCTCGGCACCTCCCTCTCAGCCCTTGGCTGGAAAAGCAGTTTTAAGACGTTCTTTTCAAAAGATGGTCTTTGTTCACTTTTTAATTTTGCACTCCATCTCCTCAGAGCTGCAAAGGCTGGCTGCAGGTGCTGCTAGTTACTTGGGAGAAGCTTTACTATAAAGACATTGCATAAGACTGTTCCTGATACTATCTCACGAATTTCCCTGGTTTTCCCCTATTTCGGCACTGCCTTTAGCTGCTGACTCAGAAAACATTGAGAATAAACCACAAGCTGCAAAACAGATTATTATTTTTTTAAAACACAGGCAAATCTTTCTTCCTTGCTTTTCACAAAATACAAATAGCAAAAGGAGTATTTTACATCCTGTCTCCTGCTCTCACACACAATATTACTCTAAATTTCTCTCCCTTGTAAGGCAGCCTTGATTTTAGCTCATTAATGTGTTTTTGCTACTTAGAGAACAAGCTTAACAGATGTTAGAGAATTAAGCTCACAGTACCTCCTACTCAGCACTTAAAATTATGGCTTTGCATTGGATTCTTCCCACAAACATTTGAAACCTGGAACCCAATCTGCCCATGTAATGTTTACTTTCCTTTTTTTTCCTTACTAAGCAGCCAGGATGTGCACGTGTGAGTGACTGGGCAGGAAGCAGAGTTTGTTTACGTGCTCCAGTAGCCCCTATCAGCCTATGCACATCCAGGAGTTTATTGCTGTAAATCAGTGCACACAGGAACCAGTTAAGTGACAGAGTCCAAAACCAAGAACCACAAACCTATTTTAACCGGTCTTTCTCTGAGTAAAGCTCCCCTAGATTCACAAAGCAATACTCCATGTCTTATGAAAAAAAAGGTAAAAGTAAATATTAATCTTTTTTTCAAGCACCGAGTTACTGAGGTTGTTCAAAGTAAATAGGATCTGCAATCGGATCTGATCTGCTTGCAAAAACATAATTTGATGCCAAGGGTTTTTCTGGAATACCAATGGCTTGGTATGCCACCTACTTATCAAGCACATCCACGGAAAGCACTGTCATCTCCAGGTCATAAATGTCACCAATTATGGACTCTGCCCAAAGGTATTTCTTGAGAATCAGCAGTTAGGCTAGTGGAAAATCTTTAGCCAAAGTACTTTAAGAAGAATTTTAAAGAGGAATGTTGCCATTCTGTTTAGCTTCCAGAAGATTCCTTTGTTACATGAGGAAGCTCCAAATTAGAAATCAAGAATCTCTTTAATGTAGTTCAGAGGTAGCAGAAGGTCCCTGGTTCAAATTTCTTGATTTGGAACACGGACACCAACACTCATTGCCACGTGCAAAGAAAACTTTGTTATGCAAAGAAAACTGGTTTGGGTTTTGTATCTATTGGCCTCTCAACATACAGCTTCTGCAGGCAATGCAATCATGAGGAAAACAGCAACCCAGAAAAACGGCTGAAATAAAACATCTGAAATAACAAAATGACTGAAATAAAAGACCAGACGGGTCCACTCTTCACGTGCAATATTCCCAATATGACACGAGAATATCCGATGCAGGGATGATACGTGTTTATGTACGTCCAAGTGGTGGAAAGCAGTGGAGATAGAACCTTTTATCCCCTTGAAGTATCTAACTCAGAAAGCCAAGAGCAAGTTTGCAGCCAAGAAAAAGGCCTCCAGCACTTTAACAGAGCCTCGTCTGTCCACTGCAGAATTAGGGCCTCGTATTTACAATTTATTAATTGAATTTGCAAACAGAAGGTGAGGGACAGAGAAAAAAAATAAAATTAAAAGCCATGTTCAGCTTGACTGTGTTAATCCATGACTGTAACTGCTAAGGCAGGACAAGAAGCCAAAATTCCCTCCAAGCACTAAACCAGCAATGGCCTCTTTCTCTGCAAATCACAGCAGGGACAGAATGGCTTTTCAAACAAGCATTTATGATCAAAAGGCTACAGCATATGATAAATATTTATATGGTCCATTAAATAATAGTCTGTATAAATATTATTCAAAATGTGCATGCTGGAAACCACAGACTTCCCAGTTTATCCTTATACAAACGTGTTAGTTTTCCCACATAGGCAATGAAAAAAAAAAAAAAGGAGGGGTAAAACTCGGTTGCAAAAATATTTCTTTAAAAAAAAAAAAAAGAAAATCCTTAACACTATTTACTTTAATTTAAAAGGAATGACTAAGTAATCAGAAGACTGTTTCATTACAACTATTAAGCTCTGTCCTACTTCATTTCACGGTTATCAAGTTGCCAGGACGTACCTTTCTCACACGAACACAGGTTGAAGCTCAGCTCAAGTTTTTAGCAGCAGCAAGTCTAGATTTGGTGGTATCATGTCCTTAAATACAAGGAATTAGGAAGGACGGGCACGTCTGTTTTAAACTTTGATCTTTGGAACACTGCAGGCTGCCCAGCCTTGGTGATCATGGATAAACAGTATGTTTTTAGTAGTGCAGCTGTGCTTTTCTATGGATTACCAAGAAAAAGGTTAACAGGCTCAAATTAGGTTTCCTAATCTTTGTGTGAAAAGATCTAAATATGTTAAATAAAAGCTGCTTTTCGATTGTAGAAAGTGAAAGAATCATTTTTGACATTATACTGGAAATTCAGCACTTTGTTGGCTTTCTAGAGTTACAGTAAACCCACACA